ATCGGCATCGTAGTGGGCATCGTCAGTGAGTATCGCCATCCTTAGCACCACACATCAACTCGTAAAGAGTCAAGTGAAGCCGATCCTTTGACCAAACGTGTCCTAAATAATTGTGGTATCTCCTTTTTTGCCCTGGGTTATTCGCGTTTCCGGTAGCATCCTATCATGCGTTCACTATTACAATATTTACCGTGTTTATTTAGATCTAGTTTGGTGTGCTCCTTTGAGCGACATGAAACCTTCACACTCCAAATGTCGTTCTCCCCCTTTCATCCTTGTGCAGGGAATGTTGATCAAAGTCTGCTTTATTATTATGCAGTCCTTCTTCCTAGTCTTATCACAGTCTTCCTCTTGTTCCGTAAAATCCGTCTGCCCTACCCCTTGTTCACCTATTTCATTCGACCCCTGCCAAAACATCTGTCCTACTCGAGGCGTTATTCGCCCTTACCTGCGTCTGGGTGACTAATTCGAGGCGTAAACCTCTGAGTTTCATGGTCACCCCCTTTGCTACATGTACCACATGTACCACCACATGTGCCACACCATCTTGGTCTTCATACCTTCGAATAAGTAATATAGTCGAGTGCTATAGCAAACACAACTTTGCCTTATCCACAATCCCACCACAGAATGCAATATGGAAAAATGCTTGGCCTTCATTGAAATTCACATCTGTCTTATCACCGAAAAACATTCGTGACAATGTGGTGTGGTGGTTCACATGCTACATTGTTATAGTTCGATTCCCACTGGGGATGCTGATAAGACCAGATCAGGTGAGCTCGAAACTGCAGTTCACTGCTATCTGGATGAGAATACTTTTTGGTAAAGCGAGAGTTATACTCATATGATCAACTACTAGCCCTTCATCACCTTAAGCGAAATATGGTAAATTCACTTTTTATATAAATGACTGATTGACTGTTGGTATACGATAAGAGTATGTCTCGAAACTTACCTTACTTCTTTAATATGAACTTGGTCAGACTACGTCGCTGGATAGAGGATTAGAGGTATAGATGGTGAGGTCTTTCCCACCAAAAAATGTGTAGTCTTCAGGATTCCAGTGAATTTCATGTAGCCTAGCATCGTAAAATCTTTTAGTATCCAGGCAGAACAGGAGTTTCTGCATCAGTTGTGCACATCATGGCGACCAACTACCGCTGTGCTACGCAGCCACGGGTACCAGTGGGTTACAGAGCAGATTTGAGTTTGAATCCGGCCGGAAGTGCACCATGACTTCCCTGATTCAGGTAAATAATAAATGCAGAGGTTCGAAAATGTCCCCAGAATTCCTTTCTTGGCCTCATTTACTAAATTCCTCAATTAACTGTTACATTAAAGAGTTTTAGTTAGTTTCACAAACTACTCATTATTTTTCTAGTAGTATTTTATAGTATAATGGAAAAAAATGTGTTGGCTTTACCCACATCAGTCCTACAACAAAGACTGAGTTGGGAGAGGCCCAGTTTACCTTGAAATTGACTTCTACCCTCTGGCACACCTAAACTCGTGGCTGTATTGGGGTTTCGCAACGCGTTGAGGTGATGGTGCCACCCGGACAAAGTTGAACTTGTGGTCAAGCGCGGATAAGAAGGCCTTTTAGAAGGTAAAGTTGAGTGAAATTTAATGGAATTGAGAGGTCCTCTACCCATTTTATTGTAGTAGACACCAGCATAAGTTCATACCTCCCCTATTCATAGTCTCAAGAGCTGTATACAAAACAACGACCATGTGTGTTGTAAGTGATGACGCCATTGCACAAGTCATCCTACGACGATGCTGTTGGTGCCCGGCAGAGCGCAATGTCAAGCCCATCTGCTACTTAATAATTTATCATGTTCAATATTTATGCTCTTGGGACGTCAGCTAAGCGATCCATGCTCGGTGAATACTAATTCTCGGGAGTTCGGAAAAAGTGAGCCTCTTACAATCTCTGTTTCTTTACATCTGCCTCGCCCTCGTGCGCAAGGGAACAATGGCTTGGCAGGGTTAGGAAGCCCCATTTTTATCACTTCTCCCGACTGACATCATCCAGTAAGTGGTCGCGGGTCCCCAGTCTATTCGGCTGCCAATAAATCACAGATGACCCCTAAGACATGCCAGAAGAATGCTGGGGGTGGGCATTTTATGCAGATTTCCCAAGTATGCCGGTATTATGCAGGCTTAACGAGAGTATTGCAAACAGTCGTACCCGTTTGTTTTGTGCATGTATGTGCATATTTGTGTGTGTTGATGTGTATGCAGGCATACATTTGTAAAAACTCGCTAATAAGACAACCTAGCACAGCGCAAATTTGGCGTAAGTGTTTGGACAGACTTTAAGACAGTGTCCCGAGTTGAGGAAATTTATTTGTACGTGTGCATGTTGCTTATGCGGTAGTGAATATGCCCACTTCTGGGGGTTAGTATATGTGCTGGTATATTTGAGATGTAAATTTGGCTGGTCATCTCGAGCCGTTCATACGAGAATTGGCTGCCTGGCAAGGCAGAGTTGAGCAGAAAGAAGCAACTAGCACTCCCAGTGACATTGAGTAGTCTTTTTCGCGGAACATGGGCAAGGGAGAGGGCTCGTATGGGGTGGTGTTGCAACAAGACGGTATTTTGGTGTCTCGCGGTGGTGGGGAGAAGGAAGGAGGAAGAAGACTAGATCATAGGAGCAAGGGTAGGACGACTGTAGTACTGCATTATTTATGTCTGTGAAAATTTATGGCACTACCCAAGTGGCCAGCTCAGCCTCAATCTGCAGTTCCCATTGATATCGCCAACCCCGAGCCCCCTCGAGCTGCACTCTCAAGCCTTTCTTCATATCCTCTCGCCCCATCTCCTCCATCTCTTGCCCCAGGGCTAGGGCCTTAGTCTATTGTGTGTGAATTGGGAGCGTCAAGGGCATACAACCGGTGTTGGGAAGAGTTGGAGGAAGCAGGTTGGCGGATTCGGGAGTGACGAAGGACGGAGGATGGGCAACTTCGCGGAACAGGCCATCGAGGAGGGTGAAGAGGAGGATAAGGAAAGCGGCAAAGAAAATGACTTCTTCAAAGTCGACACATGTGGGCGACAAAAACCCCACAGTTGGGGTGATGCCTCCCACAAAGCGTCAATATCCACGACGGGTGGCATAGCTTTGGTGCAAGCCCTGTACCAGACGAATAGGGTACAGATCGGCTTCAGAAGGGACTGGGCGGTGAATGAAAAATGGATCCACTAGGATTTAGCTGAAGCTGACTCTGGGAGGTGGGGCAAGCTCGTCACAGTCGCAGACTATGGTCGCTGGAAACGAGTGGCCAGTGTTGTTGTACGCCGTCCAGGTGAGAGTAAAGGAGAATAATGCAAGGTCGACAATTCAGAAAAGTCTCGTAAACATTCATCTAGAATTCTAGAATGCTAGAGGGGCTAGATCTCATAAAGCATTTCTTACTCGGCCTGATAGTGAATAAAAACACAAAGTTGGATGTAGAAATGCCGAGTAGAAACAAATTCAAAGTCATTTTATCTATCTAAACAACTACGACATTTTGTCAACAATCAGTAAGTGTCGAGACTATCTGTAGATCTTGAATAGGGGATATAAATGTCATAGGCTGCACAATGCGCTAATGGACAAAGACTAGCTTGCATATAATAGCTTTTGGGAGGCAAGGGTAAATGAAAATTAATGGCGGCGTGAGGTCTACAAACCTCATTGTGGGAAATTCATTATCAGCCCTCAGTGACCCTACCCGACCAAGGAGGGAAAGGAAAAGTATAAACTAGTATTGGAAGAGAAATTGCTAAACAGCAACTATGAAAACCATAAATTTATATGAAACTATTTAATTAGAATAGAAATGACCGAATTCTAGAAGGAATATTTAGAAAATATTGATATAGTATTGAGATTCAAAGTTGTACCCTTGAAGAAAGGACAGCCAAGCTTTCTGTCATGAAATTGGTAAAAAAGTGAAAGAAAACTAGTATTATTAAATTATACCCAATTTATAACATGTTTATTTGAATGCATTACACTTAAAATTCATCTGAAGTAATCTCAAAATAAATTAAATCCAAAAATATATAAATAACATTTAAAATAAGATGACTGATAGCAAAATAAAATTCAAAATTGGTATAATCGTATGACAAATTAAAAGTAAAATAGAGATAAAGAGGGGATAATGATATAAATTACAATTCATTTTAATCAAACTATGCTCAAAATAAAATAAAGGTACAGAAAAACTAATCAAGAAAGTATAAACTAAGAAATTGAATAAAATTATAAATAAATAGAAATGTAGTCATTCGATGAAAATTAGAGAAACTTAAATGAATATAAAAGTATGAAGACCAAGATGGTGTGGTCTTTTTTGTGGTCGCAGTCTCCTTCCCTTGTATAGAAGTTGTTTGACCTTGTTTTCGCAACTTGGTCATATTGGTAGGAAGACTTATAGGAACGAGACTCACTGACGATGCCGACTACGATGCCGGCGAAGCGTTTGGGAATGTACCGCCTCCACGGTCCGACTTAGGAAATAATTATGCATAAAATAGACTCAGGACAAGGTGCGTTCCTATAAGTCTTCCTACCAATATGGCTAAGTTGCGAAAACAAGGTCAAACAACTTCAAATGAATATAGATAAAAGTAATGTCCATAGGAAAATAATAGGAGATAAGAAGAAAAAATCAAATAAATTAGATACATAATAGTGTGAAAGCTAAACTGATCTTAAAAAGATATAAAACGATTTGAATAATATTTTGGAATGTAATTAAAGTGGAATTAAATTAATTCGTCAAATTAATTCAAATGACAAAAAAATCAATCTTGAAAAAGAAGGATGCAATCGAATCAATAAAGTATAATACGAAAAATAAAAAATATTATTAAAAATTATATTTAGGTGATAAAAAGTATAAGATATCTACGGAAATAATGCAAATAAAGAAAAATAAAAACAAATTTCATAATAAAAAAAGGAGAAAAAAGTGATGATATATAAGTAAATATAATCGGATTAGATGATATAAGATATGATCAAAAGAAATCTCATAAAATTTCAACAAGATAAATATAAAGGGAAATCATCAAATGAAATTACAGAAAGCAAAATAAAATAATTCTTAGATAAAAAATATACTCAAGAGGATTTAACATAATAGATAACAAAAGCAAGGAAAAATCAAGTGAATTCATGTTTTCAGAAGTTCTGCAAATAATATGATAATAACGAATGTCAAATTTTCTCAACTGATCTAACGTTAACAAGTTTAAATTAAACTAATCTCATTTCAACTGTACTTATCTTATTTAAACTCAATTTCATCTCAACACAACACATCCGAGCTCATCATATTTTAAGTAATCGAATCTCATCTCAACTCATATAATCACAACTCATCTCAATTCATCTCATCACATATCATCTAATCAGAGTTCATATCACGTCATATCAGCTCAGCTCACCTTATCTCATACAATCAAAGCTAATCTCAACACATCTCAACTCATCACATCTCATCTAAAATCATCTAATCTCAACTCATCTCAGGACATATCATCTCAGCTCATCTCATCTCAGCTAATGTCAATTCAACACATTAAATCTCAGTTCAGAAGAGCTCATGAAATTTAAAATCATCTCATCTCATCTCAATAAATCTCAACTCATATCATATCATATCATCTCATTTAAACTTACCTCATTTCATCTCATCTCAATATATATCATCTCATATCATATCCTATCAACTCATTTAAACTTATTGCATTTCATCGCATCTTAAATCCTGTCATCACATTACATATTATTTCTTGTTAGCTATACTCATATTATCAAATCTCATCTTATCTCATCTTAACTCAACTGATCTCAACTGATCTCATCTCATCTCATCTCATCTCATTTCATCTCATCTCATCTCAACTCAGCTCATATCATCTCATCTTATCTCATCTCATCTCATCTCATCTCATCTCATCTCATCTCATCTCAT